GATTGCAGTTACAATGGCAACATATATAATACATATATACATACCGCTCAAAAGTTTGGGATCAGTAAGACTTGTAATGTTTTTTAAAGAAGTCTCTTATGCTCATCAAGAGCAATAATGGTTTCGATTTTAATATACTTTAAAATATAATTTATTTCTGTGATGGAAAGCTGAATTTCCATCAGCCATTACTCCAGTATAAAGTGTCACATGATCCTTCAGAAATCATTCTGATATGCTGTGTGCCTTCTGCCTTGGGCTTGCTCCTGGCTGAGGAAACAAGATCATGGGAACTTGTCGGAACAGAGCGATTCAGATTGAATCTGGATTACAAGTTGATAAAGGAGATAAAAACAGATTCTGCCTGAAGGCCCTTTCTATTCTTTGTATCGTTTTAAGGGTTTATCAGTCTCAGTGGCTGAATGTGCCGCCCAGCATTGTGATTAGGGGAGAAGACGCAAAGTGTCACACCTGTATCATATTATTGTATGTTTGAATGCTTTCATAATCTGATTAAAGTTAATTATTCAAGTAAAAGATGATGATGTAGATGAGGAGTTCTTCCTGCCATCCAAACCCTGAAGCTCATTCTAAAAAGTGGCAGTGATTGACAGCTGGAATCAGCCACCCAGAATGCCTCAGGGTTTGGAGGATCTTTAAATGAGCTTATTAGTGGTGTAGAGAAAGTAAACAATCTGTAGAGAATTGTGTGTGTGTGTGTGTGTGTGTGTGTGTGTGTGTGTGTTGTGTGCAATTAGCACCACCAAATGGAATTGCAAAGATAATGATTGCTTCCAAACATGTTTTCTGAACACTCCCCAAGTCAAAAAATATAAAAAATGTTTACAACTTTACAAGTCTAAATGAACTTGATTTTAGTTTATTAAACACAAATTAATAGTAGGATTATCATATTTTGGAGAATTCGGTTTTGTGAGGTGTGCGTAAAATAATGTGTGTATGATGTAAAATTGTGTGCAAGATTCACTTATTAAATGGCACTATCATCCCTTAGTCAGTCACTGTCTGCAGTAACACAATATCTCCAGCCACACAAAAGAGCTCTGTCCAACCAGAGAGAGAGAGATGTACATTGTTTTTAGAGAGAGGAGATGTAAGTTTATGAGTGGTAGCACACAGATACACATTCCAGATAAATCCATTACTGAGCACAACCCTACACAACTGACCCCAAACGAACCAGGATACACACACACACACACACACATCTCTTTACTAAAGACACATGCCCTGTTCGGTTTGAAGCCCAGTGTCAGACCATTGTGTCCTGTGACCAGGAATTGCAAGTTAAAGGAGGTGAAGAGGACTGGAATGAAAATAAAAAGTGTTTTTACAGGGGATAGAGCGAGGGATGTGGTTATACTTCCTTAGCATTGTTCAGTGTGAGTTTTTTATCAGAAGATGAGGATTGTGTGGTTTGGAATATGAGAATTGTGCTGTTTAGGCTTGTGGTTCAGGGAAAAGTAAGCAATGGGGAATATGTGTGACGAGGAAGAGCTTAATCAACATCTTGCAGAAGGTCACTGGTGCTTTGGTAGGTGTGAGAGGAACTGATGACAGTCATGGCTGGCTGTCCAGAAAGTATCATGTTTTATCATGCAAAGTTTGGTCAGTTGTGGGTATTTTGGGCTTGTAATAATTGGACGACTTTTATGAAGTTGATAGGTTGGCTTTGGTTTTTTCAAAATGGGAGGATGACTAAAAGAGTTTGGTTAATGTCCTCAGTGACTCCATGGGATGTTTGCGATGCACTGTAATAGGGTCATTCTATGAAATAATGTATTTAAAATACATTGTATGATTTTGTCTAAAATTGCAGTTAGACAAATAATGTGTTTAGTTAAGAAAATGCATTGTGGCATATCAAGCTCAATTTAATTGTTGCATTTTCTTCTGATTCTAACACTTCTTAAAGCGTTTCAAACTAGGTCAGCCAAACCTGGCACAAACCTTTGGGTTGGTCTGACTCGTGTTGCTGTATCTTTTTTAACTGATCCAACTCATGAAATTCTAACAGACTTCCAAATAGGCCAAAATTCCCATAGACTTACATTGGTGGGCTGCTCAAATGGGACTCCATCTGTCAAAGATTTTTAATGTAATCTGGCTCTAGATTATGCCTATCAACATGTTAGTAACAAGTTAAAGCATTCTAGCAATGCTTTGATAGCTACATGCTAACAATGCCTATCAAGATTCTAAAACATGCAAGCAACATGTTAAAACATATACATGACCTAAAAATGACAAAATATAAGACAATATGGTTAGAAAGGAGACTTTAACTTGAAGAGTTCACTTTACATTGGATATTTTTAGAAATACACATTTTCAGTGTTTTGTTGGGTGAAAAACTGATGCAAGATACAGTAGTACAACCTCTCAAATGAACTGTACTTCTGTTTCTCATAGGCATGTCAAATAAAACATGGCGTCTATACCCTGACGTGAGGAATAGTGTTTAGTTAACAAATCAACAATATAAGACTTACAAGAGCGTACAAGAGGTTCTTTCCTTTCCATGTGTTATGCATTCGTTTTCATCTGTCTGTCTGAGCTGACTGAACTATTATGAATTACACACTGCATGCGTCCACACAAAGACATAATATTCTTATGCCTCTTTGATGTAATGACATACTTGAATAGGATTATAGAAGATATTTGAAACATTTAAAAATACCCTTCACTGAATAATCTACTTGTCGTGAAACTGTGGAGCAGCCACCCACATTCAGCTGTTGGACTGGATAACAGTTCTCTCACAATCACTTCACATTAGACACACTTTCAGACAAAAAAACAGGAGTATTGGACTTTTATATGCAGCAACAGGAAGAATTTTGCACAAATACGGTACAAGCATACAACTAGTTATGTTTTAAAGTAATAAAGGCACAAATGCAATTTTCTTTACACAAAGAAACGTTAGACAAACTGTTATATATATATATATATATATATTATAGCATTAAAAGTACCTTGTTTTAAACACATGAGAAATCTGTAAACTCTAACTATTCAACCCTGTTACCAAAGTTTTTTTTTAAAGAGGATCATTATTTTTTTTCTTTAAATTATGAGAAATATTTTATCGATTAAAGTTCAATAATTAGTAACCAACATTCGGTGCCACGTTACATATTCTGTACTTGTTAATAACTTAAATTAGGATAAAAATGTAACCCTGTTACTTGCAACCCTGTTAACGTAATATATTTTATTTAAGTGTTATGTTAATTTAATGTCAATAGACCTTAGTCAGTGTAGCGCCATATTTAATTTTTGATAGGAAAGAAAATGAGGCTGTGAGTTATAAATGTAGAGTACGTTCAATGGACTGTACTGGCAAAAAGAAATTTCTGAAAAAAAAAAAGAAGTGGTAGACAAAAACTTCATAAAACAGTTCTGCACAAATTGCAAACCTCATACACTGTTTAAAACACATAAAACATGATATAACATTTAGTTAGACTTCCTGATACCATTTTCTGAAGGGTTAAGCTCTTCCTTTCACTGACCTTTTGTTGGAAAAGAGCAAAATATTGACAAATGTTCTTACTTTATTTTGTCAAAAATAAATACCTTAAAGAGCGTAACATACAGTGAGAACATTGTGAGACAATGTGAATGAGAGAAGGAGAGAGGAAGTTTGGATCTAGCACCTGTTGGCGAGGGCCCCTCACTAGCTTTACATGGGAACATTAACGTCACTGTCACCTTTTTAGGTCTGGGAATGAGGACACACACACACACACACACACAGACAGACACCCGCACACTCAGCATGCAGCGGGGTGTTTTCAATTGCCAAGTTTCTAGAGTTGATCACAAGAGTCAGGAGTAATCCAGACTCCATTAAAGTAAACTGCTAAAGTGTCTTTCACTCATGTGAGAGGCTGTGGAATCTGGCCAACAGCTGCTCTCCACAGACAGACTCTTAAATCCAGTGTCTATGGGGTCATTGTATTGGAGAGCATGGCAGAACTTGGGAAAGAGAATAGGACAGACCTTTCTGGGGAAGGTAAGGGCTCCATGACGCTGATGTAGACGTGATAAAGCAAGGATGCAATGACAGGGTTGAATGTTTGTTGTATGTACAGGATTTCTTGATTTTCTTGTTGACTTACTTTGAGATTGTGTGTACAAGTGTGTGTGTGTGTGTGTGTGTATAGCTTAGCAGTTATAAATAGAGCTGATAGATTGCTGTCCTGTGACACTGCGCATACGGGGGAGGAGGATGGGTTTCAGGATTTCTCAACCTTACACTTTTACGCTTTGGGAGATTTATTTATCTTTTAATGAGCTTTTATGGTATACAACAGAGCGTTGCACTAAAGTGAACGTTAGTGAACGTTGTTTACTTCATAAACAATGAATCCCAATTGGGCCATATCTCAACTCCGTTTAAGTGCCCGTTATTGAGAAAAAATGCCCATGTTAAGTACAAACATCTGTGTGCCAGCTTCGCATAGGGGGGCAATACATCAGAGAGGCAGGCCATTCCCAACAGTAGTTTCGCTGACACAGTCTTTTTTCCTCTGCGCTTCCTTTAGTGCCCATGAGACTAACTAAATATGACTGAATGTTTTTGTGTTACTTCAGCATTCAGTTTTATTCCATTCTAAGAAAGTGTATCTACCGTTTCAAATTATATGTTGATGTGCGTGTCTTGTTGGTGTGTGTGTCACATTTGATATAAGTAAACATTCAGTGCTAGAGTGTTGCGCACATTTAGCTTTGTTAGGACATGTTTGCTTCTTTCAGCTTTTGGAAACTTAAGCTTGGGGGTGATCAACCTGACATCTTTATTTAATAAATCTTGTCCCGACAGCTCCATCTGAGAATCATCTGTCTGACATCTGTAAAAGTTTATTTAGCATGTGTGTGTGTACGTATATGAGGTCCACAAGGAAATATTCTCATATTTTCCCACTTTTCTCTAATCATTCCATTGCATCTCTGTCTCTTTTCCATAGAACCTCTGAAGGGGAATCTAAAGGTGACTTCCAGTGAAGACGCTGAGCACCTGACTCGTAAACAGCAGGTTGTCTCCGCTAACAGCCCTGGTAACCGCTGTGAGGCCAAATCCAGCCGCGCAGGGGTTCTACGAAGACACACGGTGGGTGGAGCGCGCAGCTCACAGGAGATCCTGGCCATGCAGCCATCCGATATGGATAAAAAACGAGAGGCCTTTTTGGAACATCTGAAGCAGAAATACCCACACCACGCCTCCGCCATCATGGGCCACCAGGACAGACTCCGAGAACAGGTGAAGACCACTGTCAATACTGTTTGTTGTGCAAATGTTGGCTCCAAAAGTCCAGAATTTGTCCACTAATGTATCTGAACTAGGTATGTAAAGCATATTTGTGGAAATAGGTGTATTTAGCATCATAAACAAAGTTGAATGACAGATGAATGAGGCTAAATCATACATGTCATATTATACACTCTCAGAAAAAAAGGTACAAAGGCTATCACTGGGGCGGTACCTTTTCAAAAGGTACACTTTTGTACGTTTTAGGTACTAATATGCACACTTTAGGTACTAATATGTACCTTTAAGGTACCAATATGGACTCTTTAGGTACAAAGGTGTGCCTTTTGAAAAGGTACCGCCTCAGTGACAGCTTTTTTACCTTTTTTATGAGAGTGTAGCCACCTATGCAATACTTTCTACAGAAACTTGAAGGCTTATAAAAACTCTAACATGCATTTATAATCAAGAAAAGATGTGACTGTTGGCATCGAAATGACATTTCTGCTGTATGAATGCACACTTTTTCTTCAATACAAAAACAGTGGCTTACAAACAGTGGCTATATATATGAGCATAAAAGGCACATGACTGAAACAGATGAATAAAAATAGTGCCGTGTTATGTGCAATACAAATATGCAACATTGCAATAACGGGAAAATAATTAAAAATATTTATATGATCATTAACCAGTGGCTGAATGGAGACTGCTGCAGTTTTATTGCCTGCAGGTAGTAGCTGGAAGAAACATTCAAACTGAAAATTATAGTAAGAGCCACTGAATTTATATCATTGTTGTAACAGTGTCTTGTGTATGTGTTATCTATTGATCTTCAGTAGGTCAGCCAAAGGTTACCCACAGGTTTTCTTTGTTCCGGATCTTGAGGTCTGTGCTATCTGGTGGCTTTAAATATCTGATAGAGACCATACAGTGAAGAAAAGAGGTAGTTTCTCGAAAAACACCAATGAAAAATGAGCAGTTTCTGCAGTGAATGACGCATTTCTCAATATGAAACCATATTCAATGTGTGTATTCAATATGAGATTCAGTGTCTTTACACTGCACATTCTTCAGTAATGACCACAGGGATCACCTCTCAGCAGACTCCTAATATTAGCTCCATTCATTAAATGCTAAATTATTTTTATATTAAAAAGCTGGATACTGAAAAAGCTGGATATTATTTCTCGCCATGACCCCAAAACCAACCAAACTCTAGAGCCCCAGCGTACTTAAAAAGGTTGTAAATAGATTGACCTCTCAGTCTGAACAGGTGGAGGTTTGTTTTATATTTTTCCCCTTTGGCCGAAAGAATCCATTTTCAGTGCTTGTGCCCAGCCGTTGTTGCCTGAGGTGAGAACTGAAGTCTGTGCCATATATCATACTGACACATTTTTGTTGTCAGGCCATGCCCTAAAATGCCCATTTTCTGTTCGGTTTCACACTCAAGTCAGAATGTTTAGGAAAAGTGACAAAGAAAAGTTTAGCACTGATCAGATCTTAATGTACACTATATACAGTACTGGTCAGAAGTTTGGGATAATTAGGATTTTTTTTAAAGAAGTCTCTTTTTGCTTTTATTTGATTAAATATAGTATTAGCCATAATATTGTGAAATATGATTACAATTTGAAATAAATGATTTCTATTTTAATATATTTTAAAATGTCATATATACATGTGATTGCAAAGCTGAATTTTCAGCAATCATTACTCCAGTCTTCAATGTCAAATGATCCTTCAGAAATCATTTTAAGGATTCTTTGATGAAAAGAATGTTTTAAAGGGGTCATGATGCTGCTAAAAAGAACATTATTTTGTGTATTTGGTGTAATGAAATGTGTTTATGCAGTTTAAGGTTAAAAAAACACATGAGCTTGTAACACTCCAAAGAGAAAGGAAAAATTTAAATCGCATGTTCATTGCCAATGAACAGCATTTATTTGTAAATAGAAATCTTACTTGACTCTCACTTTCGATCAATATAATGTGTCCTTGTCCCTTTTTTGTAAAACTTACTCCAAACTCTTAAATGGTGGTGTATCATGGTTTCCACAAAAAAAGGAATGTTATTTGGATTGCCCCAGGGGTTATTATAGAGAAAAGGTGGGGGCAGGGGCTGAACGCCTCCCCACAGCGGGTGAGTGAGGGAGTGTTGCGTGTGTTTACTCTGATTGAAAACAAAAGGCCTCTCACCTGCTCTTAAAGACCTACAAAGCAGAACAATGGAAGTGATTGACAGCTTCTCAAGAATGAGAGTACTTGGCTGCAGAATGTGAGTGTGTGTGTGTGTGTGTGTGTTTGTGTGAGTTTGTAACAGTGTAGGCGGTTACACACACACACACACACACACACACACACACAAAGAGAGAGAGAGAGAGAGAGAGAGAGAGAGAGAAAGGAATTTTGATTGGTTTAGTGCCCAGTCATCCATACACTTGACCAACGTTTTTTCTGTGTGTCTTATTTGTATGGTCAATCATTTGCTTTTACAATACGTAACACAGACCTATTATTAACAAATAATTGCACAAACAGTATAAAAGCATATCTTGTTTTAAAGGTGGGGCTGGTGACTATCTTTAACTGTTCAGTCCTGCATTAATCAGGGCATAATATATTGAATGTGTGCCATATGAGCTGTTATGAATGTTTCTGTCTTTATTTTGTATGGGTGTTCTGTAGCTGGCACATTGCTGATCACTGAACACTATCAGCAGGAAAGCGCTGAATCGCACAACAACACGAGGAGTTTAGCATTTAGTTTAGCTGTGTAAGCCTTCACCTGTCCTCCACCTCACACTAAATCAAAACTAGGAGAGACCACTATCTGCACTATCTGTCTCAAACTTCAATACAAATATAATAATGAAAGCAGAAGGAATCTACTGTAAGTGCAAATTAATGTCAAGTTCAAAGAATGCAGTTGTCACTGCTGAATGGGTAGTGACACTAGAAACCATGGATGTTTTAAATTTTGCACATTAATTTAATTTATGGTAATCCGATTTATTTGTTTAAAATAATTGTCAGCCCCATTGTAATTTAATTTAGATTTTAGTTTAGAATATTATAGTTTTTTTTTTTAAACAGCCAATAAAATTTGACACAAATATAACACAAATACATAAAACAGAGGCCATGGTATTCATTATCTAATCTAATGAATTAAGAAAACTTTGCATAAAGTTAAAAATGGCGTGAAATAAAAAAAAAATGTCCCATGCTTTGTTTCAGTTTAGGAGCCATTTGACGTTGCAACCTTTAAGTCACAGACGTATTTCTATTTGTGTGATGATCCACCAGGTATTTTAGGTGGAGAGTAATAGGGATTTGAAGTCACCATTGTAATGTGTGATGTAAGCGCAGACTTGACTCTGTTTACAACTAGGTGAGCGCGCACAGAGCTGATGGGGCAAAGCGCGGAAAGGAGGGGCGCTCGACTCACACACACACTCTCTCACACACTCACTCTCGGGCTCTTTCATTGAGCGAACTGTACTTACTCCGGGAATAGAGACTAAAAAGGGCATGGCATACTTTTCAAGCTTCCTCCAAATCATGGAATACTGAGAATGAGTCGGAACTGAGGACGATTGTTTTGAGGGTGTCTGTATATTGTTAAATAAGGTATTGTAACAGTTCATTATACTTTTTTTAAACTTGTAATCTATTTATATAAACTCAATCCATTCGGCTGCAAACTCGCTGATCATGCGATTGTGTCTAGTCTTGCGCGCAAACTTCTGAGCAGCGCGTTCGGTAACCAGAGAAGGCGCGCGCATGTGTGCGTTTCTGCACGTTACGGTTGCAGTAAGTAAACAGATACGCGATTCATTCTGTGACACGGCTGAAAAGATGCGGATAAGAAGGACAACAATGGCTGGGGTCATCTGTCTCTAACCAGGTATGCTCAGGGGGCGTTTGGAGTGCTGGGAGGCTTGTAACTTTTTAGCCATCATTTGGATGTTTAACATGACTTGCTGACGGTTCCATCATGCCCGTTTCAGATTTTAGACAGTGATAAGACTTACTGAAATATGGTTTTGTGTCGTTTTTCCTGCTCTCTTTTGCGTGGGAAGATATAATGCGTGAAGACCTGGATTTTGGGGGTTGTTGTTGGTCTGTTAAGTCAATATAGTAGTTTGTGCGGTTTCAGTTCGCTGGGTCCAAGTTGCGAATAGTAGGAAGGGGGCGGAGCTTGACCGAAGAAGTCAAAAATAAGATGGAAACATATGTTTTTAGTGTATGTAAACGTTTCAACAAGGGTTTCAAACTTTTAATTAATAATAAGCTTAGATTACAGGCTTGTCAGAGCGTGTATTAAAAAAACGATGTTATCGAATCATAAAAGCATAACAACAGTGCTTTTCTTTTCAAAGTATTTTGCTAAGAGCAATACTTTGTGATAATTTTGTGATACTTTGTGATTTGCAGGCGGTAGTCAATAAAGCATTCTAATATAATATGTTTGAATAAAACCTGTTAAATTCAATGCTCTGCATCGCAAGTGTTATACCAGATGAGCTACCGAGCAAGTTTACAACATCAATAGAGCCAAATATATGGAGCTGGTTATGTGATGCAATGTAGTTTACAAATGCACTATAGTACAAGTGTTGTGAGGTCATAGCATTGTGTTGTGGAAGGAACCATGCAAAAATAAGTCTTTATTATTTTATTATCTGCCACCATTATTTGTGTGTGTGTGTGTGTGTGTGTGTGTGTGTGTGAAAAGGAATAACAGTTCTTGGTGTTTTACTGTCACTAGTGTTCATTTGGAGTTTGCAGAAATGTAGATAGGGGCACGCTTTTTCCAATGAGCCTTTGTCGGTTAAATTGGGTACTAAAATATGAAGCTAATTTTTTTATGTGACTTGACAAGACATTCTGTATACCTAATAAACTGATAGACCATCAATAATGCTGTAAAGAAGCTGTCAGCATTTGCTTTCAAATGAAATGAGCCATGATACAGTCTATTAAAAAGCTGTTTAGACCTGTTTGGA